CATCGTCAACAAAGGAGCCAAACTCCCTCACTGGAGGAAAGATAGCCTCTTTAATAAATGGTGCTGGAAAAACTGGGCTTCAACTTGCCAAAGATTAAAACTAGACCTATATCTTTCACCATGCACTAAACTAAAATCGAAATGGATTAAAGATCTAAATATTAAAACAGAAACCCTAAACCAGATGGAAGAGAGGTTAGGAATAACTCTTGAAGACATTGGTGTAGGAAAAGATTTTATGAACAAAACCTCAGTTGCCCGTGAACTGGCACAAACAATCAATAAGTGGGATCTCCTCTTACTAAAAGGCTTCTGCACAGAAAGAGAAACCACCAACAGGGTGAAGAGACAGCCCACAATGTGGAAAAAATTTTCACCTGCTGTTCCTCAGACAAAGGTCTACTATCTAGAATCTATAAAGAACTTTAAAAAATCAGACCTCCCAAATTTAAAGACCCAATCCAAAAATGGGCATCTGAAATGAACAGATATTTCTCAAAGAAGTAGAAATAGGAAATAAACGCATGAAAAATGTTCAACATCACTGATCATTGGAGAGATGTAAATGAAAACAATGCTGAGATTCCACCTCATGCAAGAAAGAATGGCTGCTATCATGAAATCAACGAATGACAAATGCTGGCAGGGCTATGGGGAAAGAGGAACACTGCTCCACTGCTGGTGGGAGTGTAGACTGATGCAACCACTGTGGAAATCAGTGTGGAGATACCTCAAAGAAGTAGGAGTGGAAGTTCCATTTGACCCAGCAATTCCCCTGCTAGGCATCTTCCCCAAAGAATTAAAAGAATAGCCAGGAATTTAGCTCAGTGGTTCCGCTGTCTGCCTTGCAAGCACAAGGACCTGAGTTCGATCCCCTGTACCAAAAAATAAAAATAAAATAAAAGAATCATACCACAAGGATATATGTGCAACTATTTTCATAGCTGCACAGTTTGTAATAGCTAAAACTTGGAAGCAGCCCAAATGCTCATCAACTGGAGACTGGATAAAGAAAATGTGTTTTTTAATAAAATGGAGTACTCCTCAGCCATAAAAAAAAAATGAGAAATTAGAGACATTTATAGTTAAATGGGTGCACATTGAGGGTATCCTCTTAAGTGAAATAAATAGGACGCACGTGTGTAAATACCGAATAGTTTCTCTAGTATGAGAACCTGAAAGTGTAAATAAGGACTAAAAGGTATAATAGATAATGTGAAATGGGAAGAAAAGGGGCAAAGGGGAAGGGGAAGTGGGAAGGGTAAGGGAAAGGAAAGAAGGGAATGGAATTAATATGAGAAAAGGAAAAAATGGAAACAAAGTCTTTGTAAATAGGGAGGGGTGAAGGGGTTGAAGGGAGGGCAGGGGAAGGGGAAAAAATAACCAAGAGAGATTAT